AGGAAGAAAGGAAGGAAGGGAACTAAAGGAAAAGAGAAGAAAAGAAAATGTTAACAGTCTGTGAGGAAGGGTTATTCTATCAGCCCTAGATGCAGACCTCAAAAAAACTAAATTAGCTCTAAGGAGAAGGTCCAAGGTGCCGGGGGGTGTGGGGGGGAGGTGTACAAACCTGCCCCATTCACAGAGGCCAAAGCCCAAGGCTGAGACATGGTCAAGAAAGACCCCCAGCTTTCAGCTCAGCTTTCTGCCTCTTTATCTGCATCCAGGTGACTGAGAACAACAAGTTACTGTAAGGAAAGAGTGTATCTGTGTTTAGCCAACTTTACTGAGTCACTCCCCAGACCAGCAGGATACACATTCCATATAGTCACTCTCCAGCCCACTTCTGGCTAAGGTGTTTCTGTCCCCAGTTAGAGAAAACAGCGGAGTGGACTCTGGAAGAGGTGGTGATATATGGTGTGTATTCGGAATGGTGGACTAGACCCAAGGGGAACATTTGGGTTGCAAATGTCATTGTACACATTAATTAGAACCACAGACATGGGGCATTCCCTCTTTGGAGGCAAGAAGGCTAGCGAGAGGGTCCTGGGTGTGATGCTTCACGGCCACATTGACTGGATTTAGAGTCACTTAGGAGACACACGTCTGGGTATACCTGTGAGGATATTTCCACAGATATAGGTGAGGAGAGAGAAAAGACCCCGAATGTGGGTAACATCGTGCCACGGATTGGGAGTCTGGACTGAATATTTTCATGAGAAAGCAGGCTGAGCCTTCATCTCTGCTTCCTGACGGCAGATGCAGTGTGGCCAGCCACCTCATACGCCCACCACCACACGTCCCTGCCGTGATGGATGCAACCCTTACATCACGAATCAGAATTTAAATTTAAAAATCAAAAGGATGCTTTCTCCTTAAGTTGCCTGTCAGGCCTTTGTCACAGCCAGGAGGAAAGTAACTGAAGTCCTGGACTCCCCCAGCTGCCTGTAGAGCCAGCTCACAGTGGCTCGCAGGTGTCTTTGAGACACCTCATCTCAGCTCCATGGTCACTGATAGCCTAATGTTGGTCACAACAGGGACATTTACATCACAGAGATTGGCAGATGTTACTAAACAAAACATCTTTTTAACCTAGATAGAAGGTGGTGCACGCCTTTAATCCCAGCACTTGAGAGGCAGAGGCAGGCGGATTTCTGAGTTCGAGGCCAGCCTGGTCTACAGAGTGAGTTCCAGGACAGCCAGAGCTACACAGAGAAACCCTGTTAAGAAAAACAAAACAAAACAAAAAAAGAAGGTTGTTAAACATTTACAGGCATACCACTAATTAATTACTCTAAGATCTGAAGGGGATGGAGGCGGGGCAGGAAGAGATCACGGAGTGCAATAGTCAGAGAAGGAGACCATCAGTCAAGAGGTCACAGATAATGGGACAGGAAATCAGAAGTGTCACGTGATGCAGGAGGCCTGGGAAGAGAGTCTGGAGAGGCCAGGGCACAGGCATGCAGGAGTTAATAGCACACTGGCCCTCAGAGGAAACAGATGTGAGGATTCAAGTAGGCCGGGTAGCCGGAGTGGCCAGGACCCTTATCTCATCCTTTGGGCACTGGCTTGGCTCAGAGGAGTGGAAGCCATACCCTGACAATCTGTTTTCCAGGCTGCCTCTCCATCCAAGGCCCAGCATTTGTGAGGGGCCCAGAGCAGGGGTCAGTGACTGTGCGATGTCGATATAGCTCAAGATGGCAAACCAACAAGAAGTGGTGGTGTCGAGGAGCAAGCTGGAGCTCTTGCAGGATCCTCATCCGAACGACGGGGTCGGAGAAAGAAACAAAGAGCGGCCGGTTGTCCATCAGGGACGATCAGAAAAATAACTCATTCCAGGTTACCATGGAGATGCTCAAGCAAAACGACACGGACACTTATTGGTGTGGTATCGAAAAATTTGGAACTGACCGGGGGACCAGAATTAAACTGACCGTTTACTCAGGTAAGTACTTTCCTGTCGGTACCACAAGGCCCTGGCACTCAGGGCCAAAAGGCTATAAAGAAAGGACTGAGAACCTAGAAGACAGGAAGGAAGGAAAGAAGGAAGGAAGGAAGAGAGGGAGGAAGGAAGGAAGGAAGGAAGGAAGGAAGGAAGGAAGGAAGGAAGGAAGGAAGGAAAAAGAAGGAAAAGAGGAAAGAAGGAAGAAAGAGAGAGACAGATAGACAGACAGATGGGACAGGGCAGTGACAGAAATGAGGAAGGACAGCAACCCAACATCTTTGCAATATTAGCCCCTGAGGTTTCTGCAAGGAATCCCACTGACATGTGTTCTGACTGGCAGATGTTGGTGTGGAGCCAGGGCTTAGATATCTCCCTATGGAACCCATGGCCCTACCCTGCTGTCCTGGAGACACACAGCCCTGGAAACTCCCATTCTTCCACTGGGGCTTGAGTATGTCACAGATGACTGAAGTCCTCAGCACATCAGGCAGAGAAGTTTCTAGTTTTCCAAAGCTTGCACTCTAGGCCTGTTGTCATATGGGACAGTGGAGGGACAAGCTAAAGCATCTGGGAGAGGGTTCCCAGGGTTGAAGTCCAGGACTATCCAAACCACAGTGACTCTGGCCACTTTGGAAGACTTGACCTTTCTAAATGACCACTTCTGCATTCTCTGGCTACAGAAAGAAAAGTCATAGGGTAAGGAAGCCCCAGAAGATTTGCAAGCATTTTGTGGATGCTTCAAAGAGAAAGCTATTAAATCAGAATCAGAGACCTCCCTGATTCTTCTGGCTTCTCCCTGCCTCAGCCTCAGTGAGGGACTCCAGGGCCTTCTGTTGGTGCCTGAGAAGCAGCCTACCCCACTTCCACCCAACTAGACATATGCAGGCTTTCTTCAGCCCAGCAGTCACACCGGCTCCTGAGAAGGCAGCAGAGATGGTAGGGCTGAAACTGGCGAGAGAGATACGGAAGTTGCCTCCTGAAGGAAGTGAGGTTCAGAAAGGGTCACCTCAATAGGACTTCCCAGGACTACCACTGAGGGGAAGCTGAGAAGGTCTGTGGGGGTAGAAAAGGGGCTGATTAAGATATGCAGGCAAGGCCAGGCGGTGGTGGCACACGTCTTTAATCCCATCACTTGGGAGGCAGAGGCAGGCGGATTTCTGAGTTCGAGGCCAGCCTGGTCTACAGAGTGAGTTCCAGGACAGCCAGGGCTACACAGAGAAACCCTGTCTCGAAAAAAAAAAAAAAAAAGATATGCAGGCAAAAGACGGAGTGATCAAAGAATGTGCCTCATGTGGGCCTTTAAGTGTCCAGAGGGACAGGGGACACCAGTCAATATGGTGATTGTTAGGACTGGAATTATCCAAAGTTCTGCTCAGCTGCCAAGCATGATTAAAACCCAGAACCTTTGAGTGAACGGTTTGCTGGGTCAAGAACTAGCTCAAAGGATGGCTATAAGCCAGAGGTGGACTTAGGAATCTATGACCCAGCCGCCCACTGCAAGACACCACAGAGCTTCCTCTTGGTGGCACTTCCTTCCTCATAGTCATTCATGATTTAACTAGCATTGTGCCTTCTTGCTCACTGACCACCCAAGTCACTAGACACTCATTTCTGAGATCATCTCTCCTTAAGCCTTACTCGGTTACTATCTAATGGCAAGGAACAGATTCTCGCCTCCAATCAAAGCAAGAGGAAAGAGATGGTGGTGTGTCTACTCCTCTAGAATAAACTAGAGTCTATATCTCCCTATCATATCTCCCATTAATAACAATGATGGAGGAGATGGACTATGGGCAGTCAGACAGCTCGATAGCAGCCAAAGGACTGTATCAAAGAGATGAAGCTTCCTAATCCAGGAGAAGAAAGATCTGCTGATGTGCTGGTCAGTTTCAAGTCAACTTGAAACAAGTTAGACTCACTGGAGATGGAACCTCAATTAAGAGAAGAACCTCAATTGAGAGAAGTGTCTCTAGCTCTTGCTCTCTTATTCTCTTTCCCCCTCTGTCCCTTCTCTCCCCACTCCCCTCCCCATCCCTCCCCTCTCTCCACGTGTTCATGGCTAGCTTCTATTCCTCCTCTCTCTGTGTCTCTGTGTCTCTGTATCTCTGTCTCTGTCTCTGTCTCTCTCTCTCTTTCTCTGTCTCTCTCTCTGCCTTTTTCTGTCTCTATTAGTCCCTCAATTCCCCCTCCATGCCCTCAATAAACTCTATTCTATACTATTAAAAAAAAAAAAAGGTCTCTAGGAGACTGGGTTGCAAGCAAACCTGTAGAGCATTTTTTTTAATTAGTGATTGATGATACTCCTATCAATCACTAATGTGATGGCCCAGCACATTTCGGATGTTGTCATCCCTGGGCTGGTGGTCCTGGGTTCTATAAGAAAGCAGGCTGAGCAAGCCATAGGGAACAAGGCAGTAAGCAGCACACCTCCATGGCTTCTGCATCAGCTCCTGCCTCCAGGTTCCAGCCCTGCTTGAGTTCCTGTCCTGGCTTCCGTCAGTGACGGACATGGGAGTATAAGCCAAATAAACTCCTCCCAACTTGTTTGGGTCCTAGTGTTTCATGGTAATAGGAGCTCTGACTAAGACACCTGGTGAAGGCTGGTTGGATTGGGATACCTTTGTGAGCCATGCATGAACTATCCCCCAATCTGTTTTGTAACCTATGGCCATCTTTGTTTATATCTAGTGGGTAAAGATACCATGTCAACTTCTAACCAACTTTCCTGGTCCACTATAGACAGCAGCGCAGACATGGTGTCTTCTGACTTGCAGAAGAGGTGAGTCCTGAGGTCTTCTCTCCTTCCTTGTGATGGTTTGTATATGCTTGGCCCCAGGAGTGGCACTATTTGGAGGTGTGGCCTTGTTGGAGTAGGTATGTCACTGTGGGTGTGGGCTTTAAGACCCTCATCCTAGCTGCCTGGAAGTCAGTATTCTGTTAGCAGCCTTCAGATGAAGATGTAGAATTCTCAGCTCCTCCTGCACTATGCCTGCCTGGATGCTGCCATGTTCCCGCCTGATGATAGTGGACTGAACCTCTGAACCTATAAGCCAGCCCCAATTAAATGTTGTCCTTATAAGAGTTGCCTTGGTCATGGTGTCTGTTCAAAGCAGTAAAACCCTAACTAAGACACTCCTCTACATGGGTTCCTCCTATGGCAATCCGAAGCCTGGAGACTCTTACCCATGTTCTATCACCAGGAGCCAGTGATTGTCATAGTCAAGACCCAAGGTCCCAAGCCACCTCTGTCCCTGGCACTTCCCGCACACTGTGGTCTCCATTCCATCCCTACTAAGAAACTGATCTGCAGAGCTGTCCATCACTACCCAGCCAATTGGTCAAAAAAGCCCAGGCAGCATTGTGGCTGCCAAGGGGGAGACAAGACCCCCGTATCATCATTGTAACAGGGCAGAGACAATGATTTGCTAACCTGGAACCAGTGTTGAGGGCAGAGTAAGCAAACACACCCAGATAGAGAGAACTTCAGGTTTCTTCTGGGTTGAGGGATATTACAGGAAAGGAGAGCCCCAGAAGACAAAATCAGGACAAGAGGACAGGCCCTATCAAGGCCACCTGGGGGTCACTGATGAGCTCTTATGATTGGGTGGACCTTGGAGAAGGTCCCTGGGGGAATGTAGGGTGTGGGCCTTCAGTTTCAGGCTGTGATGAGCTGGCCATTGACTTCCATGTGTTGGGGGACGGGCATAACGGGGCTCGAGGACATGAGGCCCTAATGGCTGTGTCTTTGTCACAGGACCCATTACATGCTCCTGGTATTTGTGAAGGTGCCTGCCTTGCTCATATTGGCTGGTGTTGTCCTCTGGCTGAAGCGGTCAACTCAAAAGGTCCCTGAGGAATGGAGACACACTCTCTGTAGCAATTTGGACTCTGAACTTCTGGCTAAAGACATTTCTCCTTAGACTGATGGATAAGCAGAGCCCTTCCATCCTGGACTCTCATTCCAGAGGAGACCATGACCAGGGAAGAAATATCTTTAAATCCTCAGTGGGCGGTGACTGAGGCTGATCCCTGGAGGACTCGGCCAGGCATGATCTACACTCTGTACAGCATGGGGCCACAGCTCAGGCCCTTCCTGAGGTATCATCCCAGCTGCATGGACAGCACCTCGCTCTCCCCTTGCATCATCAGCCCTACCCCATCTACCCACCATGGTCAGCCCAGGGTGAGAACCAACGGAATGCAGCCCAAGCTACAGAAAGACAACTGTGTGTGACCTGCTGCAAATGCTTGTGCAGAGCCTGGGACAGACACACAGAGAAGCAGAAGGGACCAGTGGGGTGGCTAAATCATCTATCCTATGACTCTGTCATAGAAAACCCTGTGAGAGTGGAGCAGGTGTCCATTCTCCATGTTCCGGACACTGCGCCCACCCCTAGCATGCACTTCTGAGGAAAAGTGAAGAGTAAAGCCTGCCTGACAGGCCCAGGGTCTGAACTGTGGAGAACTCAGGAATCCAAGACTTAGCCACAGGAACTATGGGTGTGTTTCCCAGCAGGTGTGTTTGACTCCAGGGCCAGACGCAGAAGGCTGCATAGCCTTAAACAGATCTTCGGACTACACAGACATGCTGGCGTTAAGCAAGAGTTAGCCAGGAGAGAGCAGCAGAGAGCTCAGGAGGCAGAGAGAGAGCTGTATGCTTTCCCACCTAGATCCTCCCCACAGCCCGAACTGCAGAGGAAGTCAGGCCAAGGGTAGCTCACAGAGTAACTACCAACAGCACCAACTAGGAAGGTAGAGGCCGAGAGATTGCTCCTCTTATCACAGGGTTCTTCGGCCTTTAACTGTAGTTGGGGGTGGGGGCAGGAAAGAAGCTTAACATGAACTCTGCCTTTTTCAAGGAGCTTCCATTGCGCAGCCCAGAGCTGACATGCACATTGCAAAGACATCATATCTCTAGAACATATACATCTTGCAGGACTCAGACTCCCAGCCTACTGAGCAACACCTCCTGCCCCCAACCCCAACACCACCTCACCTCACCAGGCCCTGGCTACCACCATCTAACTTTTTTTTTTTCCTTTAGGAGTTCTGCTATTGCACCTGAGTGAAGTCATGAGGTGTTTGTCATTTCTGGGGTTGCTTTATCTTAGTTAGCATTAGTCACGTCCCCAAAGGACCATCCACCTTCTAGCAGATGATAAAATTCCTTTATGTTAAATGCTGAATAGCATCCTGCTGCATGGATATACCACACTTTCTTTCTCCGCTCATTTACTCACAGGCTTTTTGGTCGTTTCTGCTCTCGGCCTTTATGGATAATGTAACAATGAGTGTGAGTGTATAGGTTTCAGGGTTAGATGCTGCCTTCAATTCTCTCTCATATGATCGAGATGGTTGGTCTTGATTGACCTAGGAGACACACCTCTAAACCTCTCTATAAAGGTGCTTCCAAAGAAGTTTAACTGAGGAGAGATGACCCACTCTGGGTTTGGACACTCACCATCTCATAGCCTGGGGCTTCAGACTAAATAAAAAGTAGGAAAGAGATAAAGCAAACCGAGCACTCATTGGTCCGTCTCGCTTTCCTTCCTGAGAATGAAGTGTGGCTAGCCCACTCATGACTAGTGCTACAGATAGTTCCACTCCCGCTACCGTGCCATCCTCACCATGATGGACCGTAGTCCTTTCAACTGTGAGCCAACATAAACTTTCCTTCCTTCCTTTCTTCCTTCCTTCCTTCCTCCCTTCCTTCCTTCCTTCCTTCAGTTGCTTTTCTCAGATGTTTTGTCACAGCAGTGAGACAAGTAATTAACACGTATGCCCGAGAGTATTGCTGGGTCACATGACAATCCTCATCGTAATTTTTTTTTGAATGATCTTTGTATCCTTTTCTGCATTGACTACGAAGTTTTACATTCCCACCAACAGGATGTAAACACATTCCGATTTCTGTACATCATCATCTACGTTTATTGTCTTCTGTCTGCTTATTTGCTATGACAACCATTCTCCAGGTGTTTGCATTTATACTATTTCCCTGATAATTGGAGATGTTGGGCATCTTGCTACATTCTTACCGTTCAAGTCCTTTGCCCATTAAAAACAATTTCTCTTTTTACTTTAATTTGTATTATTGAACTATGTGCATCTGCGTGTAGCTTTGTGACCATGACATAGTACTTGTAAGGGTCATAAGAGATGTGCTGTTTATGGGTCACCCACAGTCACTCATTCTCAGCACTTTGACCAGGTAAGAGTTTCTTCTTCTCTGATCAAGGGCAAGAGCAGCACTAGTCTCTCTATATATAAACACAACTATTTAGAAAGCAGTTTGACTATGTGTCTGTTTGGCAAAATATCCGAGTGCTTCTGATCAAGGGTACAGTACTAGGCTTTTACTCCTTCCCAGGTAGTGGGCCTCAAATTCAAGAAGTAGTGGTTGGCTACTGGTAAGGCCTAGGTGAAATGTTAAGGCGTAGGTAACTGTTGCCTATCTGCCCTGCCATTTTGCTGTTACTGATGTTACAAAGAAACTTTCTCATATTCTGTTCCTTGCTGTTACTAGGATGTTCTGTGCTTAAGTGTTCTTGGAAACCAATCACAATAGAAGTCACTTAGAACTGCTTTGTATAGTTAGCCGCAGTAAGCTTGGACATGAACCAACCATCAGGTAGCACTTCCTGCACCTGGGTATGAGTTTTTATGGTCTTTGCCCAAGTTGCCCCTGGATGGACCCAAACATAAGAGAGACATCTTCATCAATATAAGAAGCTATTTGGAATCAGACTTCCATTTTGAGTAGGAGTCAAATAAAGTGTAAGTTCCCAAGACCTCCCTGGGAACTGACATCCTACTTGGCAGAAAGAGACATGTGCATGGGTAACTGACATCCTGGTTGGCAAGTTAAGACATAAATGTTAGGCAAGGCAAGTCTCCTGCCACAGCTGAACACCCCAAACAACGGGAGCAGGATAAATGTACAACAAAGACACATTTCTAAGGCAACTCCCATCCCTAAGTCCTGATTGATGGAATAACTTGGTACAGATGTTTGTGGATTTGGGACTTAAAAGTCATGTAGGATCTTACCTCAAGAATGAGGTCCAGATCAAGAAGGCGGTTTAGCTCCTGCATCTGGGCTGCATCCCTGATAGATTAGTCGTGGGGTATGGTGTTCAATAAAGCATCCCTATTTGACCGAGACTGGCGTCTGAGTGGTTTGTGTGTTGATTCCCAGACCCCCTCCAGTTACCCTCAAAACAGCCATGCTGCTATCACACCAGTGAGTCTGTCTTGTCTGACAGGTTGATATAATATTTAGGATTCACGTTTGGGTAAGACCACTGACCTTACCATTGGGTAAGTCTCCCCATAGCCTACATAACCCTTTCCTGCACTATTAGCTTCTAAGGTGAAGCTTCCAGTTTAATTCTTCTGTGACCTGTAATTGCATTGTATGATGCCTTCTGGAGTAAGATAAACTATCTATATTTTAATATTCACTTTTTTGTGTATATGAGTGTATATGAGTCTGCAGGTATCTATAGGCCCTATGTATGCCTGGTGCCACAGAAGCAAAATGTGGGCACCCTATCCCCTGGAACTGGAACTACAGATGGTTCTGAGCTGCCATGTGGGTACTGGAAACTGAACCCAGGTCCTCTGCAAGAGCAGCTAGCGCTCTTAATTTCTGAGTCATCTCTCCAGCCCCCCAATTATATTTTTAGCCATTTCTCATTTTGTTCCTGTTCCTACTTTGCTCATAGGTAGGCGACTTTGAATCTACCACATTAAGCTCCCCTCCTTGAAGAGCCTCCTGGTTTGGGCATTTGGCTCAGGACAGCCACCAGTTCCTCTGTGTTCACACGGTTAACTATGCAGGACTTGAAGCCAGTCTATTTGGACCTCTGTGGGTGGGCTGATGCAAGTTCCTTCCTGTTCTCCGCCTGTCGACATCATTATCTTCATCCTAACACTGGCTCCTCCTAGTTCCCAGGAAGTACACTGCACACAGACATCACACTCAGCCCCAGAGACTTCCAAGGAAGAAATGAACCATCTTTTCTAGAACATTCCACGAGGCCCTCTTTCCACATCTTCCTTGAATGGTTGTTGGCTGGTTCAGACTCATAGGGTCACCTTTAAAACAACCACTTATGATTGTGAGCACCTGACAGCTGGGGTATAACCCTCTGCCAGTTCACCGTCTGGGTATGGCAGCCAGAGTATAATCCTCTGACGATTCACCGTCTGGGTGTGGCAGTTGGGCAGGAAGCTCCTGAACAACCTTTGCTGCAACCCAGCTCTGTTTCTGGACTTCCTGCACACTGCCCCTTAGTCTGTGTGGCCACAGGAGCTATTTGCTCTCTCATCCTGTCTCATCAGGGACACATCATGAGAGCCCAGGGTTCACACCAAAGCATCCCTCTGCTGCATAAACCTGATAGTTTGCAGATGGTGTTTTTTTTGTGACTGTGAGTTCTCTGTGGGATGCAGCCTGGGAAATCTGACCTTTCCTCGGCCTCTCAGCTCAGTCTCCTCCAGGACAAGGTAATGTTTCTTCAACAAAGGTTCTGTGAGGATTCTGATTCTTCATAGCTGAAGGCTAGATGATCGTTGCTTTCCAGATGCTTGTGACAAACCCAGTATTCCTGCCAATATATCAAAAATCCATCAATAAGTAACTAAATAACTAACAGTAGGAAAGAAGGAGGAAGGAAGGAAGGAAGGAAGGAAGGAAGGAAGGAAGGAAGGAAGGAAGGAAAAATAAATATTGAGGCTGCCAATTCCTCCCTTAAATTTATTCATCAAGGAACAGCTATCTCTCTGGTGTTAACTCTGGTCCCCTCTCTGACTCTGAGGAGGATATGTTTTCATTTCAGGGTATACTCAGATGGCATCAGCCAGAGGAAGATAGAGTGCTGCTGGCACAGGGTTAGAAGAGGGTGGTAGAAATCCCACCAGTCACAGCTTAAAGTCCCTGTCAAGAGGTCCCTGCGTACGGCTGTGGCACCCAGTGTGACCCCTTGGCAAAGCTGTTTGGCTGAGCCTCCATCTTGGACATTACTCTTTTTAATTTTATATCTTTGTTTTGTGTATATGGATATTTTGCCTGCACATATGTATATATGTGTACCATGTATGTGCCTGGGGCCCAGATAGGTCAGAATAGGGCATCAGATCCCTGAACCTGGAGTTACAGATGGCTGTGAGCCACCACGTGAGTGCTGGGAATTAAACCCAGGTCTTCTGCAAGAGCAGTCAGTGTTCTTAACCACTGAGCCTTCTCTACAGCCCTTTGGACATTAGTCTTATTTATCTGTCATTAGGACATTTACCTGGGTTATCAGCAAGATGTCACGTGTCATAGATTCAATTATGTAGGAGAGAGGACACTCTGATTAGTAATCATTTAGTAATGTGTCCCTGTCGTGAGCCACTGTCTGCTCCCAACAATAGCTAGCGCTGGAAAATTCTCAACTTATAGTCTTGCCAGGATAACAGAAAATCAGCACTGTCCTCCATCCAACTCTGACATCCAGAGACACCACAGGACACTGATGAGCAGTGAATACCATTTTAACTGATCCCACAGAGTACCTATGGGGAGAGAGGGTCCCACTCAAACTGTTCCCCACCCACCTAAAAAAATATACAGAGCCTTCACCTTGAAGACTTTAAGGAAGGAGACTTTCCTGATGACAAAGAGAGGATGGGCTGACCAGAGACAGTAGGAAGCTGTGACTGGAATCCAGGAGAACAGCATGCTTGGCGGAACATACATAGAAAGCCATATGCATTCTTCTTATTGTGAAACCAAGATGTATTTCTATCCTCTACTTCTTTTCTGCTTCTAGGACATCCCCCTGTCTACACCTCCCACCTCACAGTAGAGGCGCTAGCGTTACAGGTGAGCACCACTGCGTCCAGCTTTTTGTTTTTTTTTTAAACATGGCTCTGGGGGTTCAACTCAAAACAGAGGCAAGCGCTTTTACCGCTGAGCCATCTCACACGCTCAAGGCTTTTTATAGTTCATTTCTCCAGAAGCACGTGAGCACTCTGCGTGGCAACCACCACCAGAAGTTTGTTGTTGGGAACAAGTAGTGGGAGGAAGAAGAGGAAGCCCAGGGAGCTTGTTTACCATCCTCACTTCCCCATCTTCAGGGCTATGGCACCATCTGGGGTCTTGCAGATGGCTGATAAGCACACGCTAAATACAGGAAGGAGAGAATTGTGGAATGATAGGAGAATGGGGCCGGAGAAAAGGCATGTGAACTAAGACGTTTGCTTACTGTCTGCTTGTTTCCTTGTTTGTTGAGATAGGGCCTCACTCTTTTGGTCTGGTTGGCCTCAAACTCTCAGCAATCCTCCTGTCTCAACTTCCAAAGTGTTGAGGGAGAGCTCACAGGGGTGAGTCTTTGTTAATTATAGCTGACGATAATTAAGTCAATAGCACAGAGCAAACGTTTCAAAGATATAAGAATGGTGTTTTGGGTCTGACGGAGTGGGGGTGTGGCTCTGTCGGACTGGGGGCGTGGCTCTGTCGGACTGGGGGCGTGGCTCAGGTTTTAATTGTTTCCAAACACTGAAGCTTAGTTACTTTTACTTCATGTTATGTGTACGACTGTTTCCCTGTATGAAAGTCTGTACACCACACTGTGTAGCACCCACAGAGGGCAGAAGAGGGTGTCAGCTCTCCCGGTACAGGCGTTACAGACTGTTGTAAGTCTCCATGTAGATGCTCTCAGCTGCCGAGCTCATGTCTAAAGCCTCTTCTCCAATTTTTCTACAGTGGATATTCCTCAGTATTTCTCAGCATTAAAAATACATTCCCAGCACCTTCTAAATTGTAAATCCAAGCAGGTTCACACCTCCTCCAGCTGTTCTCAGCACTCTCTGCTTTCTGTCTTCTGAGGGTCCTGCACACTCCTCCTCCGTGGACATAACAACTTCCCATCTTTTCTTCAGTCACTGGGCTCGCGTCCACTTATAAGACTCTGTTCACCATGCAAGAGTCACTGTCAGGAAGCCACCATGATGCCTGCTCCCCTGTACCTCAGCAGGAGGCCTGTCCCCTCTGTTCACTGGCTCCTCAGCTCAACACCTAGCCAAGGATAGGTTTGAACTCCTAAACCCCAGGCCTGGGATTACAAGCATGCACCACCATACCCAGCACCTGACTGTCTTTATCCTTGCAGTTGGAGATATTTCCTCATACAGGTTTGACAACCGTGCATAGCTGATCTCTGGGCCCCTCTGAGACTCTGTCTCTAGTTAAAACTAAATACCTCTGTATTGGTGGACAGAAGGAAGGGATGGATGGGACAAAAAAAGGAGGGAAGTCAGATCTTTGGGGGGTCAATGATCCCTCTTGGTGCCTCCACTGAACTGTGTCCACAGGTTCTGCCATACCCACATTATCACTTTCCTGCCCAGGCAGGTGAGAAGTCTGGCTTTGGCACTTGCTTGGGCTTCAGAAGTGTGTTGTGGGCTCTGCTGAGCCGGGTGGTCCAGATTTGTAGAGTCTAATTCAAAAGAAGTTGGCAAGAGCCTTGGGCAGGAAGCAAGAAAACTGCACATGAATGAGTCCAGGTCTGGAAAGAGAGTCTGGGTGACAACAAGGACCAATGCTGGGACACTAGGCATTGTGTATGACAGGGACAATGTGAGGCACTGGGCATTGTGTCCCAGGCCTAATACTCAGACAGCCTTGAATGATAGAGTTCTTCCTTAGTCTGTAGGAAGCCCTGGCTTCTATCCCCAGCACCAGTTAAAACTGGGTATGATGGCACACAACTGTAATCCCAGCTCTTGAAAGGTGGAGGCAGGAGGATCAGGAGTTCAAAGCCATCCTTTGCTACCTGGAAAGTTTGAGGAAAGCCTGAGGTCACAAGATCCTGTATCTAAAATAAAATAAAATATTTGTGTGTCTTTTTGCCTCGCTATCACTCTGTCCTCTGTTTTTCTGTACCCACCACAGGGACAGTGGCTGCCCTTCCCTTGGGCAGGCTGCAATAATGCTAAACGTCAAGAATCAGGACTAGATATCTGAGCACAGTAAAGGAGACACTCAATCAGGAAGTTTTGGGTTCTCTTTCCACATCAAGGGGAGGGCAAGGGAGTGGAGAGCCAGGCAAGGGTTTTTTGTTCTTCCTCTTAATTCAAGCTCTTCCCCTTCGCAGTTGCAGGACACGGGACACAAA